GACACCCCGCCGCTCATCCATCACGAGGCACACAGTGAAAGGGATGTTTGTCATTTTGCAGGGTTGATTGGATTGAGAATATCCATTTTAGTCTTTGATTGAACAGTACATGTCTTGGCCTATAGTTGCTAAATTCTATGATTGTACAGTGTTCCCATTATCTACAGTGACCTTCCCACGAGCTTCCTATTTTGTCCATAGATGAACAGGGGAAGGTCACAAATCCTCCTCTATAAATATGATGATATTGGATAGAGGAGGGGATCTATTTTTTTCTCTCACAAAAGTTCACTCTTGAGATAGAGTAAGAAATATAATTCGGACTGAGGAGATTTGCCCGGTCTAGGTCATACTTTGTGTTCTTGTTGTGTGTTTTATATTACGGGTCGAGTGTGTCCAGGTCAAACCCGGTTAACCCACCCCGCTATATTTACACCATCATTTTTGGCGCCACCCGTGGGACCGATTTTTAAAGTTTTTCGACCAGGTCAAAACTTTACCCCCACTAAATATCCACAAACATGTCTTCGAGCAACTACAACGCTGTGTCAAGCCAGGCTGCGAGTGAACGCACTCCTGCCATCCCATTGATGATGTCGAGCATGGGGACGACCTTTGCTCCGATCACTACTGTAGGATCAATTGGCATGATCCCAATCATGTCAACCCCAACTCCTACGCCGACGACAACAATGTTCCCAGGCTCGATAACAACGCCTGGTGGAGCATTCACACCATACCCGTCACCTTGGGCTCAGTTTGCTACTGACCCAGCAAATGCTCAGGCTCTACAGGGCTATCAACAGGTGATGGCCATGATGCAACAGGCAGGTGGCTTCATGCCATTTGCCTATCCTGGTATGACGCCGCCAATTATGCCACCTCCGGTGTCGACCCCGTCGACATTTGTCCCTAGGATGGTCCCTATACATCCGGTGAATTTGACGGGGACTTTGAATGAAGCGGCGCCCTCAAATGTCCATGAAATCAATGAGGCGGAGCAGGAGGCGGCCCGCAGGAAGAAGGGTAAGGCTATAGCCGAACCCAGCAAGACTCGAGATTCGGCATTCAAACTCCTAGGGGGCAAAGAGGATGGACCCCGCAAGTCTGCCAAGCTACGTCTTGGTCCTGAGATGGGCCGGACTAGCGCAATGGAAAGACTTGGCGGGGGTCGTCACGCCCAATCTCGTCGTTCTAGGGAATCTGAGACGATTCACCAAGACGAGGAGGAAGCAGAAAGCCAGCCGA